GACGGTGGAAACCGTAGGAATTTTTAGTTTTCGGCGGAAACAGTGCGGAGAATACAGGAGGGAGGAACTTTCTCTCGTTGCGTTTCAAAAGAGAAAACAGATTTCACTCAGTTTTAAATGGAAAACAAATTGTCTGCCGTTCATGACACATAATATGAACTAATTCACGTTCAAGTTATTTATTAAAAAATGTGTTCAACGTTTCACGAAAAAATGAGCGTGTTCAATGAACGCGTTCTTTTGAACTCGTTCACGCACAACACTGCCTTTGGCCTGGGCCTTGCTCATTGGACCAGGCCACCAGGCAGGGTAGGAGTTTGCAAAGACCGTGAGGATGAAATTAAATTAAAGGCACACCGTGTAACTCTTGGCCACTAGGGGCGCTAGACCTGCAACTTTCACGTTTAGCGCCCCTAGTGGCCACAAGCAACTCAGCACTGTCGCAAAAGTCAACAAACAGTCAGCCGGTGTCTTTTGAGTGTGTATTCAGACAGCATGCACTGGTGTGTGTGTTCAAACTGTAGAGACATGCCTACAGATATTGAGAGACTCTGCTGTGGTCAGCCTCCAGACCGCTGCATTAGTAATCTACCACACATGGACTTCTATATCCTGGATGAGGGAGTTCTGCGTCTAGCTCGTGCTGCGTGGAATGACATCTTTGCAGTCGATGACATCCAGGAACCAGGTGAAGAGCAGCGCTCATACAGACATGCAGCTTACAGCACGATCCCTTTTGCGTTTCCTCTTTTTAGCCTCCTCCGAAGGTTTAAAATTTTTCCTTGCCTCAGCCATGACCAGGAGTCGAGCAGGTGAAAAATGAGTAGCAAAAGCCTTAGCTCCATGAGTATATCAGCGCCTGTAGCCGTAAAGCAAGTCTTTCTTCCAAGTCACGTGACCTGGTGGCAGACGGTCCGTCTGCTCGAAACTTACATGGGCGGTATTTCAAGAGGGCAGCCCCGCTCGGAGCATTGCAAGTGTCAAGCGCTGTATATTGGCCCAAGTATTCATATAAAATAACTCATATGTGTCAACTCTTTAGGTCACAAAGTCCGCGGTGTGCCTTTAAAAGAAAGAAGAAAAAAAAAAAAAGAAAAAAAGACCGTGATGATAGGGCAGGCCCAGGCCACTTTGACACGCAGGCCACCGGGAGATCTCCCGATGCTCCCGATGGCCAGTCCGGGCCTGGGCTGCGGGACAGGATCTGCTCCAGACGATCTCTAAACAAACCTCTGCTTCACAAAGTGGCTCATTTTCAACACCATCAGTCTCAGCTGGAGAGATGCCAAAGCTTTTATGGTGTTTTTTATGTTCATTCTGTGAAAAATTGATTCACAGAGCCAAGTGGTGGATGAGATCGGGAAACAGAAAGATACAAGTTACTATAGACATACTGCAGCAAAATTAGGTTTTAGTTGGAACTAGAATAAATGTACTTTCTAATGTTTCTTATATTTGGAAAAGCACCCATATATTTACAGTATATGTCGTTTTGTCCGCATGAGTTTCCTTGGGGTAATGGCGCACTCTGGTGGATGGAAATATCACTGCAGGTAAATGTAGTAATATTGTTTTTACACACAAAACAAAAAATCACGGCATGAAGGAGCATTTAATTGAAAACTTATGTTGGGGATGCTGACTACACTTTTTGTAGATAAAACCTGATACTGGCAGAGCTCAAAAGCTAAGTGGGGCAGACCTGGTTAGAACTGTGATGGGAGAGCTCTGTGGGGTGAATGTTCTAAACTGTTGTTGTGTCCTTAGGCAAGACACATCCACATTGCCTAGTTGGATTCTGGTGTGTGAGTGAATGGTTGCTGGTGGCCTGTGGGTTGCTTCACTTCTGTCAGTCTGATGCACTGTTACTATTATGATCCACACAAACCAACACATCGCTAATGGCTCAGTGTTCCTTCTCCCATGTGAACTTTGGAGGATCTTGTGATTGGAAGTCAAAATGATTATACTTTGATGCATGTCAGTAACGTAGACAAAAATACACATAAATTACGATGTAAACAGGAAACTGCTGACAATGGGTTGTGTCTCTCTCTCTGGCCGCATAATGAGAGGAGACTTCAGAGACAGAAACCAAAGCCATAGAGGGATCACGGCTGCAGTGTCGGGACAGAGCAGCATGAGCGCGGGGCAACAAAGACACTTCTGAACTCCTGTGTTTGAAACCACCGAGCTGACTTTAAGAGCTGTTTTATTATGTTTGTATTGCCATGGTGTCAAATGCCAGTCACATGTTACAGGCTGCATTGGAGCAAATGGATGACATCATTGCAGGTAAGATTTTCGTTCCCTTTAAAAGCTGGGCAATGTATCTGATACTGCTGTAAATGTTAAACTGAACTTATTGATTAAGATAAGATAAGATATACTTTATTAATCTCACACAGGAGAAATTTACATGTCACATTTGGCATGGATAGAAACACTCAAGATTCTGCAAATGTAAGAAATGTGCAAACATGATGATGCAGGACATATTATGTACAAAAAGTGGCAATTAGAAAGTGGCACTAAGAAAGAATTTATGATTGAAGATTGGTTTAAAACGATCAAATGAATCAGACTGTCCTACCCCAACACACACGCACACACATTCCATATTGCACTACTGATTTATTCTGTTTATCCTGTTTTTAATGTTTTTAATATGTCCTGTACAGTGTCCTTGGGTGTTTTGAAAGGCGCTTTAAATGTGTTATTATTATTATTATTATTAAATGCATTGAAAAAAATAACAAAATTAAATCACAATGTTTTTATATTTCAAGTTAGATTAGAAAATTGTGCCTGATTCTTTTCTTTATATTAGTCAGATGTGTAAAGCTATAGTAGGATGCATTAGGAATCCATTTTATTTTGGATAACAAAAGGCACTTCTGCTATACGCGGTGTATCATCATGTCACCTGGATTAAATTCATCATCTATACTATAAATAACTATCTATTTTTCATAAATAACCTTAAATACGATGTACCAGTTGAATATCAGCCAACCACAAACACTTTAAAGACAGCATCTTTAACACGGGTGACACATTTTTGGCACAGAGCTGCTTGTGACAATCACACTATGACGCTAATAGTTTCTACAGATCATTTGGCATGACTATAACAACAACTGAAATAGCCACAAACAAACCTGCAACTTACAAAACCATTCCAGACTTTGACAAACACATTCCATCGTTGCATGCATAGTTGTGTGCATTGTCACCTTGCTGTAATTTCATGTAACAACCCCAAGAACAAAGACAAGCACCTGTCATTTCAAAACGAGACAAATGTGAAATATTTTGAACTTTTTTTTGTACGTATCTTCACGACATTTGTTTACCTTTATTGATACAAGTTTTCTGTTATAACACCAATTCAATGCAAAGTCACACATTACCAGGGATGGCATAGTATCAATGGGTAATTTGGTATAATAATGTGCCATTTGTTAATTTTATACTTTTTACATGTAGTCGATTATTGTATAACTTTTGTATTTGTATTCATCTGATGGCTATACTTTGTCAAAATTAGTCTTGTTATGATTAGCAATGAACCCTGGAGAGTCTCACTTAGAAGTTTAGGATTGACAGGTGTATGTCCCGCCTCTTGCACATACACACACACCACATGAGATACAGGCTAATGTCAAAGCACAGAAATTCTTCACTATTCTTCACTCTTTTCTCTTGTAATTGGGATTCTTTTGTATTTAGGTGTTGATAGTGTTATTATGATATTTGTTTGATTAGCCTTTTTCTTGTTGGGTTAAGCAATTTATTAAAACAGTAGCCCAAAAAGACCCACCTTATATTGTTATGAACAGCTGCCACTGCGCCTCACAGTAACTAAACTGTAACTAAACTGTATATCCTCTTGTAGGCGAATCCAGCACAAATGATGTATTCCTCTTGGAGCCAGAACATCTCCAGTCAGACTGCATACAAGAGTCAAATCAGACAAGTGCGGACCGTAGCCTTAAAGCATTAGCACTGACTGAGGCTCTCCGGGCAGAGCTGGAGGGCCTGGATTTGCATCAATCCCCTGTTCATAATCAAGCCTCCAGAAAAACTGCAGGTGTGATCCTAAAGTGGCTGGAGCACAGCAAGGTGAGTTCCGTGTTTAAAGTACATCAGTCAAGCTTCATAAATCACTAAGCGTACACACGATACAAAATAAATCGCTTATATCTGCTGCTAAATAGATGTGTTTTCTCGGGTGCCGTTGTTAAACTGAAATCTATAGGTTCCATTTGTTGCAAGGGAGTTCCATCTTTGATCACCCACATCTGGATAGCCTTTTCCTGTCTACTGCGCTGGAAGTTGGAACTGCAAGTAATGAGATCCAGAGCTCTGTTCCAGCTTCACCACAGAGTTTGACCTCTCCTTTCAACTCATAAACATTCTGTATGTGTTTACTTGCTCTGCCCCCAACTCACATCCAACACATGCTTTCTCTGATACCGATTGAATAGATATGTAAAAAACTTATATGTTATGAAGTCTTCCTCATGCCCGCGTCACGTTTATTGACTTCTTGCCCTGAACCACATCTGACAAGCATGTGTTGCCTGGAAACTTCTCCTTTCTTTGTGCCCCTCAAGTAAAAAAAAAAGTTAAAAAAAACTAAGCTTTTTCGAATCCTCAGTCTGGACGGAGAGGCACTTGAGATAGTGGCTGCAGGGGACAGCCAGGGGAGGATGTGGGCTTATTAGATGCAGGATTGGAGAAATTTGAGGTGCTTTGGGGGCAAGACGGGAGGGGGAGTGGTGCAAAGAGGTACAAGAGGAGTAGCAGAAAGGAAAGAAAGCCAACTGGCAGCATGAAGTTATTTAGTTGAAACAGTTTCTTTCTACAAGACTGCAGCAAGTTCTACATTCAGCATGGACGGTCCTTTTAGAGAAACACTTTTTCACGCTACTAAAAGCCATTGTTGAAATCTTGCCTTGGTCGCATTTACGTTGCAATTGCCATGGACCTGAAGAATGGAGTACAATATTGATTTCTACAGACATTTTGCTTGGCTCAGAAAGGTAAGGCGTGGTGCTTCTTGCAAATTGATTTGTGTTTTGGGAATTTGCTGAGAGTGACAGACTGCAGAACATGTGCTTTTGTTTGTGTGCGTGCAAGAGGACTTCAAACACCTTTTAACGCAATGCACTTCATTCATTGGTTCACAGGCAGCAATGAGGAAAAACATAGATACATTACTTATCACCTAATATGTACTCTGTAATGTATTGTGTTGCATGGTCTGAATGATTCTTCTTTCTAGCATGCAAGACTAAAAGTAATATTTTAAATACTATTGTTTGAATCCCACTATGTAGTCCCTGCATTCTGATTACCACTTAAACTGAAAACCACTGAAACTGGACCTTAACCAGCATCTCATAATGAGTATTCTGAATATCCAATCCTATCCACTTTAATTATATAGCACATTTTATTAAACAAGTTTCCAAAGGGCTGCACAGAGATAAAATCCACACATTTAAATATGCAAGTTTGCCATCCTTATGTTTACAAAAATAAATAATATGTTAAAGACAAGGCAGATAGTGCATTTGAACTGACACGAAATGAACGTAAGAATTCTTTTCAATGAGTCAAAATTGAAGCCATTACACAAACCTAATATGTAAGGCTATAGATAGAATGTACAGGGGTCTGCTGAGATCATTTTCTAAGGAGATAAAATGAGCCTTGTGATAATGCATACCATCAGAGCGCCATTAAGTTGTCATTAAGTCTCTCTTGTGGAGTGGGTAAGATTGCTACTCTCATGTCTTTCACTTTTCACTAAAGGATTTACCAGAGACTACGAAAAAAAACAGGACGCAAGAACAAAGTCACTTACATCTCGTCTTGTGGCTGATGCATGTGCATGTTTGCCACGCATTGAAATACGACGCAGAGAAACCATAAAAGGTTTTATTGATGGTGTTTTAAGGGGCTGCAGAGCGCTTTAGAATGGGCAGCTGTGGGCTGATGGATGCTTGGGGTTCATAAACCAACCGTGACAGAGGAGGAAGCAAAAAACAAACATTTACTCATTATTTATGGTGTGTAGAAAAGAAAAGTAAAACTATGGAGCATGGAAACATCTCTTCCTCTGAATGCATGTTTTTTTCCTTCTCTTTTGGGTCCATTCTCATTTTGATCAAGTCTAAGTGCAGATTTAGTGCAGATCTGGTTCATCTCTTATTTAGTCCCAGAAAGAAAATGAAGAATTGGACTAACTTTGAAAGTAGTTGCAATAAATATTATTTGTTATGGTGAATACATCTGAATCCCCTGTACCAACCTGCCATTGTATTGTCAACACATCCACATCTGCTGAATGTGCAGTTTAGACTTGAAGCAGATTATTGTATGGGTGAATGCAGTTCCTTATTCACTCTCAGTTTATTTGTCTTTATTTACTGAATTAAATTAACATCTGCATATTTTATACGTGTCCCCAAATAATAATGAGCAAGTCTACCAATTATATTTTCTGAACAACAGTTTAAACTGGGATACAATGGGTATGATGTCCATAAGATTTATTATCCGATCACAGAGCAAAATGAGTTGCATTTGGGTTGCCAGTTGTTTTGTTTTTAATCATTTTTCAGTGCTGTAATCAGTGCAGGAACTACACGTGTCACAGGGAGGAAAATTCTGGAAACTAAAGTTAGATTGTAATTGTAATGATATACATAAATAATAATGGCAAGAAACCATGGAAATCTCTCCGGCTCCCTTAACAATTTTATAACAAAACTAAACACATTTTTAAATTCTTATAAATACTTTTAATTAACTTATAAACCACTCTTTGGGTTTTTATTTGCTTTAAAATATTTGTTCTGCTCTTGTGCGGCTTTTAATGATGTGTAGAGATGTCAGCTATTGTTTGGTTGTGTTTGTATTTTGCTGCTGTGAAGCACTTTGAACTGCATTTGCGATACAAATATCGCTATTATTATTATAAGAACACTTTCAATTACTTATAGTTTACAAATGTTTACGATCAAAAAGGTTTAGGATAGAGTATTTTCAACAATTTGTTTTTTTGTGTATCTATAATTACAATCAATTCACACATTTTTAAAAATATAGTGAAAGACAAAGTATGTGTGAAATCCAGAAATATGAATAGATCTGTCCCAGAAGAGGAAACCAAAAGAGCAGGAAACAACATTATGACAAACTAAAGGTACTAATGGATTTTGTGACCTGCAGGTGAACCTCCAATCAGCTGGCAGCGCTGAGTCTTACCAGGAGCGCCTGTCCCGCCTAGAGGGAGACAAAGAGTCCCTGGTTCTGCAGGTGAGATCACAGAATAAAAACATTTACAAGTGTGAACTCCAGAGGCTGATAACCTCGTCAGTAAGTTTCACAGGTTTTACACACAGGCTTTCTGTCTGAGGGCTGGATTGTAAACACAGGACAGATCACATTACTCACCAGTGTGGAGAGACACAAGCCAAAGGGCAAAGGTATACTAAAGTCTGAGATGTAAGATGATGTTGAGGCTTTCGCAATCCCTATTTCCTTACATGGGTGAAGCAAGAACAAAAAGGAGGTTTGGTAAAGCTTACAACACTCGATGGTCCTGTTTTGTGAAGTAGGTGTGAATATAGGCTCAGAACCGGTGAGGCCGCAGCAGGTTTAGGCTTGTTGCACTGTATACTATATATGTGCATGTGTGTAGAACGGATAGACTCATGTCACATTTACCACGTGCTCAGTGACAGTTCATTTTGCAAAACAGTTTCAGAGACTATGTAACTAAATAGTGAAGTATACTATTACATCCACCAGAGTGTGTAGCTAAATAGTTTAAGTTACACACTGTACTTTGGTAGTAGGTGCAGTAATTGTCTCCTTTTATAGCAATGAGTAATGGGAACATTATTTGCAGTTCGTTACAAGTTGCTAAACACATAATAATTAATACATTATTACATGACGTTTTTATTTGTAGTTAAAACAGGTTTCATTATTTAATATATTCCTAACATTTTGTTCTAGGGATGTTGCTATTGGTCGACTAAAGACCAGTGGATCAATCCATAAACTAAACTGAGCTGCAGAAAACGCTCTCACACATTGCACATGAACTAAGCTATACTCACTGTATTAATAAAGTATTATTTCATGTTCATTAGAGTTTGATCTGGTCAATCAATCAGTCAAATGATGAAAGACCTACAGAGTCCGAGACATGTCATGTTAATGGAACATGTGCTCCCCTTCAGGTGAGTGTGCTGACTGACCAGGTGGAGGCTCAGGGGGTGAAGATCAGTGACTTGGAGAGTTCTTTAGAAGAACATCAGCTGAAGCTCAACTCCACGGAGGAGATGCTGCAGCAGGTACAGTCAACACAGGACTTTGTATTTATATTGTTTAAGCAGGTACAGTCAACACAGGACTTTGTATTTATATTGTTTAAGCAGGTACAGTCAACACAGGACTTCAGATAAGATAAGATAGACTTTATTGATCTCACACTGGAGAAATGTACGTGTCACATTTGGCACAGATAGAATCACTCAGATTTGTGCAAAAGACAGAAGTGTACAAAAATATAGTCTGTGCGGGATATAATTCTGTACAATAAAAAGAGTGGCAATAGCGGTACAGGTTTTTCAGTCCTGCATCAGTGACTTAAAGTGACTTATTGTACAGTCTGACAGCGGTGCTGGCCCTCCTGACCAGCTTGTTCGGGCTACTACTGTCCCGCTCTGTGCTCCCCGGGGCCCAGCACACAACAGCATGGTCTACTTTTATGAGATTCAAAAGGAATGGATCCTTGTTGTATTTATATTGTTTAATAAATGGAATGCATAATGTCTTATCCTTTAATACTATTTGCCTATAAATCATGCCATGCCTCTTAAGCTTCCCCTAGGATAACTTTAGTGGAAAGGAATTCCTCTCATGAATTCCAATATATCTGTCTGAAAATTGCCTTGGCAACCCAAATATTTAGAGCCAGCAGTCTCATTCCAGGACAGAGTCTCAGAGCGCTGGGCTGGTGTACATGAGGCTGTGCTCCGCTCTGTCTGGGCAGGTGATTACAGCGAAACCAACTAACCACACCCCCACGTCCCTCCATGCGCAAACACATACACACTGCTCATATGCATGTGTGAGACAAGAGTGCAGCTCAAGAGAAGCAGAGACATTGGAAAACTTCTTCAACAACAACACAAATGGAATTATGGATGTCAATCTCCTGACATGGCTGTAGGTCTGCGAAGGTACACATGAACGGTTCTACTGGATGGATTACGTAACATGCTTGCCGTTAACTAAAGACTCTCTGAGCTCGACAATGCAGTGTATCAAAGGGCAGCACGAGCTGGTTTTCTGCATGACGTGGTCATTATGAGGCAGAGGATTTGAGCAGTAAATCTCTTCCTGATGACAAAGCTCTGAATTTTCCATGAAGCTGGGAAAGATTCCAAATAACTGGATATTTCATATACTCTGCCCTATACTGATTTTGGTTAAGTGATTTTCCAAATGCTTGACAGATCTGCTTGGGATTATTGTCTCTGCTTTTTGGACTGGTACAAGAGGTACAGGTATGAGTGGGATTGACTGACAATGAACTTGCACCTGCCAAAGGCCTGTCAGGTTCAGGTGTCTTCCTGAGCAAATGCCGAGGGTGGCTCCCATGTTGCTCTCTGCAGCCGTGTGCTTAGAGCGGGCAGTGAAATAGCATTATAAATAGTGGTCATGAGTCGTGTATATTTAGCAGCTCATAGCAGCAGGTTTTCTCTGACAGGACTATCATTACTGAGGCAGACTTTGCAGCCTGTGCTGCCTTTGTTCAGTGAGTGTTTCGCAGACTGTACTTGAGTCTACGTGCTTGTCATCCCATGTGTTGTTGTGGATGACAGGAGCTGGTGCACAGGACGTCACTGGAGAAGCAGAAGCTGAATCTCATGGGGGAGGTGTCCTACCTGAAACTCAAGCTGGCAGACATGGAGGCCAAACACCGCGACGGCAGCGAGAGGCACCACAAAGCAGAGGTAAGGATAACATCCCCAATATTTTCCGTCCAAACAGTTCACTCAAGTCTGAGCTGTTCTCAAGCCTTATACATCGAAGTCATTTACAACTATAATTGTAATAGGGTGAAAAAACAGGGTAAAACTTTATTAATCGGTTGATTTTTTTCCAGATATGTAGCCATCTAAAAATATTAGTAGATATTATGCATTGAAATTAGATATTAAAAAAAATATCTTTTGCACAGAATATTTTAGTTTAGTTTTTTTTTACCCTAATCACACTGCCTTATTCCAAATTTATACACACTCTGAGGCTTAGCGTAAATGCCAGACTTAAAGCAGGGGCACCTGCTGCTTAAACAGTAGAAGGACGCAGGGATTTCAGTGCGTCGACCTTGTACCCATTTGTCACAGACATCTTCCCACACGAATGTTTGGTAGCTTCCAACCACACAGCAACTTTTTCACACAAGTGTGAATCAGCTCTCAGCCCAAAGAGCCAAAATGTTCTTAAGAAACAATGCTGACTCAGTTGGATCTCAATGTTTACACTATACTATACTGTATGTATGAGAAAAAGTTGGGTCTTGAGTATTAACTATTCTTTGATGGTCTATATAGAAGGTAAACAACTGAGACTTTCTCTATTGCTAGGTCAAATTGAATCAATTATTAGAGCACTATTAAATTACCAGTGCACATGCTGTCGTGACTGTGAAATCGAGAGAGCGGGAAACTGGGTGGTGTTCTGTAATGGTTACTCTGAAAACAGTGCTAGTCAAAGAGCCTTTGTGTCAGTGTGAAGGCAGATTTAAAACAAGTGTGATGTTAGCTAGAACCATTTGTATTTGTTTTACAAGAAAGACTGAAAAAAGGATTTTCCTATTAATTTGAAATAATTAAATACCACTTTCATTTTCACATTGAACCCCTCACCCCACGTGTCATGTCCAACCCAAACACATCTAAAGCCACAGCTAATATTAGACCCAGAAGCCTCGCATATCGCCTGTCACATCCTCTGTTCATGAGACAGACTAGACTTCCACCGTGCACAGGCCAAGCATAACTTTGATGCTGTTTACACTTTTTTCCCTGCTTGAACATAGCTCAAATCTTTCACCACAGAATGGTAATAAATCTCAGAGGCTTCCAAAAGGTTCATTGACTTGTACAGAAATGTTCGGCCATTATACCATGATTATCATCATATGCTATATTTGTCTGGAAATACTCAAACCAGCAGCCGGTATTTCTGGCCTTCTCATTGTCCAACCAGAGGAAAACTTATCCCTTTGCACTTTATTTGCACCAGAACTTGATGAGATATTTATATTTTTGTGAAAGTTGGAAAAGCCTGGGTAAATGTGCCATTAGGACATTCAAGCAAAATTTACCGTTTGGACTATTCTTGTTCAGTTTCCGTTCACTCTCCACATTTATTTTTCTTTCCTCTCTCTCACTGACTCTTCCAGAGTGTAGTGAATTTTATTAGTGAGCTGCAGGAGCAGATGTGTAGGTTTCAGACGGAAATAAATAACAAGATCCAAGAGAAAAAAGCCCAAGAGTTTCCAGCCCGCAGCTCTCCTGAAGCTTCCGCCGAGGGTCAGAGTCCACACATGGGACCATCCCGAGACCGGACCTCCGGACAGAGGCACAGGGCGCTGGGGGAGCGGAGGACTGCTGTCACAGTGGGACAGAGCAGTCCCCTCACACTGCCGCACTGCCACTGTGGAGGACAAAGTGTAGGCATGCATGAGTGTGGTTGATTCTGGTGCTCTGTGGTGCTCTGTGGTGCTCTGTGGTGCTTTGGCTTTGAGCAGTGGTGCACTGCATTATTGTGTGTTGTAGTTCTGTGACTGACTAACCTCATATTCAGACCATGTATGCATACGTGAGGTAAACAGTTCTAGCCTAGGATCAGTCTGATGTCCTGGCTCTTATGTTCCATATTCCCCCTGGGAGAGCAGGTATCCGACTGGAGCCCAGGCTAAAACATATGTTCCTTGGAGAAGAAACAATACAAAATGTTTCTGTAATTCATTCATTTAATTATTGTAGACTAAATGCATGAATTAATGCATAAAACAGAGATCCAGTGAAGCTTACATTTACAAAACTATTGGTTGTCCACCTTTTTCCACCAGCAACCAATGACCCGCACATTGGTTGAGAGTTGAGACCAAAACACCATTTTCCTACTTGAGCTAATCATATCTGACTTACTATTTCACCATAAACAATGGTGAAATACTATCATAATAACAAACCTTTCCTAACATTTATGACATTACATAACATAATATTACATTGTACAATGTCATGGGAATGATTGCCACATTATAGGACTTCTCCAAGGATATGATTGTAGAGAACCTCCACACTGCAATTTGAACAGAATGTTCCTAATGTCATAATGTGTTTGCCAGAGAGAAAAACAAAAGTTGTAAACTAGTTGTACTTATAACATTAAATATAAAACACCGGAGAATAGAAACAAATAGTAATTTTGAAATGATAATTGAGCTTCACAGAAAGTACTGCATGCTTAGATTCTCATACAGTACAAAGCTGTTACTGGTTTGTAAACAAAAGTAAATAAAGACAAGTCATGTTAAAGCTGTGATTGTAAACCTTTTACATTCTAGCGGTTTCTTTTTTGAGAAATATATTGTGAAGTAGACAAAAGGTGACACCCTGTAACTTAATCAATAAAGGAAACATATTTAAGAAATTGATGTAAGAAAAATGTAGGGAGACGTTTGTGAGAAGCCAAGTCGCTGTATGGAAAGTGTTCTGGATTTAAGAGGCTTGTGCAGCAATTCTCCTACTTTGGCGTCTAAAGGGTTAATTGCAAACCAAGTCTTTTGCCCTTGATATTTCACGTGTGGTATGATGCGAGTAGATGTAGACTCTCCTCTTCTGACGTCATGCATCGATCGTCATATTTTCAATGCATGGATCTCACTAACAACAGTACGTGGCCTGTTTCAGTCTAAATGAATTCAACACTGCCTTTTGTTTACTCAAGGGCTTACTCAAGGAGCTGAGGACCCTGAAGGACAAAGTGGAGCACCTGGAGGAGCAGAAGTTACAGTATGAGAAGAAGCTCAGAGCCACAAAGGTAAAATCCAGATGCTATGTTCACGTTCATGTCTAGACTTCGGGAACTGTTTCTCCCCCTAACTCGTCTTCTTCCTCACTGCTGTCCAATGGGAGGCTCCGGTCAATTGAGTGAGTCATTCTCCTCCCAGAATACCTCCACACACGTGCATTAAAGTATCAGTATGATGTAAATGTCCAACGTGTTCTGTGTCTTTTAGTTTGACATTATTTTGCTTTTAGCTCACATTTTCTTTTAGCCTCTACTCTCCTGCTGTTTATCTGCTGCCTCTATTCTCCTGCTGTTTCTCTGCTGCCTCTATTCTCCTGCTGTTTCTCTGCTGCCTCTACTTAAAGGCTTAGCTGAGGCTTGCTTTTCATTTATAAAAAACTAAATTTTCCGTGTGCTAAAACAATTTACTTTAATGGCTTAAACGCTCAGTGGTTAGTTTTGCATGATGTGTCGTACCTGTGTGATTGCCTTAGACTGTGCAATCAGTTTGGTTCTTTCATTTATAGACAAGAATCATGATTTATGTGCGCAGAACTGAAATGTAATAATCTGTTTTGATTTATAATGTTTGTATTGCATCAAAACTAGCACCCATACTATATAATATCGAGCTCGGGCATGTGTCCCTGTTGTTCTTCGTCTCTAATCGCACAGTTTTAAGCTAATCTCAATGGAGAATGTTCCAAAGTATTTTTACTTGTGACTTTCCATTTCCATTAAATCATGCAGCAGACTTGTCACCTCCTGAACCTGAAAGATTACACACTGTCACTTTATATGTACATTTATGTATTTACATTGTGATGGATTCTCAATCATAACATGGTTTCCCTCATGTTATAATCGGACTAGTGGATTGAAATAGTTATTTAACAAGTTCTGATAATTCTATTTTAATGTAAACAGTGTGTGGATGGTTCAGTATAATCTGTATGAAAAAAATAAAACAATAAAAAGAAGAACAAAAAGAACCAACAAGTTTTATGATCCTAGTCTTGATTGAAACCCGTTTACATTGTTGGTGATACTGTTTCGGTTGGCGACATGTGGAGTCATGCTGGTCCCTCTGTGACTGTCCCAGGCTGAGATGAGCAGCCTCCAGCAGCAGCTGATCAGTAAGAACGCAGAGATCCAGGGTTTGCACGCTCAGCTCCTAACGCAGCCCAGACTGACCACCGACGGCACAGACAAAGGTGAGACAGTGGCGTCTGCACAACAAGAGCCCATTCTGGTCTGATCACACATAAGATAAGATGAGATAAGAATAAGATAAGAATTCCTTTATTCGTCCGACAGTGGGGAAATTTTGATGTTGCATCGCACATATAGGACAGTAGTAAGAGCACACAGGGATCACACACAATATATACACTATATACAAATAAGTAGTAGCTATGTTTCTTAGCTAACTTAACTAGCTGTAGATGCTGAAAATGCTTCAATACCAGTCAAAATATATATGTAGTAGTGCAGTTATATACTGTACAGATAGTGCAGGATAAAAAGTATATAAGTAAAGTGACATGAGGTAAAGTGACATTGTTCTGTGACATTCTGAAGTTGCAGTATTGCACATTGCACATGATTTAAGAACATCATACATCAGATATGACTACACAGACACAGCTGCTGCTCAGGTGTCAGCTCCACCTTCATTAAATCAGTCTGTTTCCCGTTATTAACTTATCATTACATTTCTCTACATATTTTGCCGCAGTGAACTTGTACAGGAAGAAGCTGAACATCCAACGTAAGCCCAGTGAAAACATGCTTTGGAGGCTCTTTTGTCGTGTGTAATATGGACATTTTAGTTTCTCATTTCGCTGCTATTTAGTTCTGGAAAACTTTGACACCTTCCTGCTTTGTGCTCTATTTGGGTAATAGGCATTTTTTTCTTGTGTGGTGTTATTCTCTTTCCAAAAGTGAATGCCTACAGACTTTGGGCTTTTGGCCAGGTCTATGTTTGGTGCAAAAGGGATGGGTGTATTCTGCAAATGCAGTATCACTTTGGTGAGGATTATTTACAAAACAAACTTGTTTCTTAGATTTGCCTGTAGTTGTGAAACAATTGTGAATTCAGTGTGTGCATCAGCTTGTGTTTTTCTTTGTTTTAGATATTGAGCTGCAGAAACTGAGAGGGGGAATGAAAACACTCATAATGGCAAATGAGGAAAAGGTGAGACTTACAAAAACATTTAAGTGGAATGCTGTTGAGGCTCAATAAGAAGAGATAGATGAAGATTTATACTTCAATATAGTTTATACTTTAAATGTAAATGTAATTTCTATTGTCTTGTGCAAAAATGAGAAGTGGTTGAAATAATTGTTAGATCCAATGCTAAACCATTTGTTCAGTTACATATAAACATAATCTTGAACAAGGAAGAAACTTAAACTTGATGCTGTACTGTGCTAACAGTGCTGTAATTGTAATGTTCTAACCTGAGCAGGTAAACAATAACATCTAACTTACCCTTTACTAAAATGTTTGAGTGTACAGTTTGAAAACCACTGCACTGCAGAAAAATGTGATCGTTCATTTGGACAATTGAAGCTAACTGCTCTGGCACCACCTCCGCCGCTCAGGAGCACAGAGGGTCTTTTGTGTCCAGTGCTGTGTAGACAGATGAGGCGGACCCACATGTGGCTCCCCACCAAAGACGAACTCCCCGCGGCCAACCTTCTCAGGCAAAGCCACACATAAGGAGGCCTTGCACTGCCAGGCCTAATTTTGGAGCATGCTGCATTTAAAAGAGCCATGTTAGCGCAGGCACAGGCACCACTTCAAAACACACACATGCTCACAGCAGCTGGTTACCACAACTGAGGCTCCGGCCTGGCCCAAGTCAAGCCCTGGCCTCTGCTTTGATGTACCAGCCATATGTGAGGGGAGAGCTCTGCATATGACTGACTATCGGAGCGTTAAAGAGTGATCGAAATGTGTTATGTTAAGCTCAGATACACATCTAATTCAGGTTTACTGACCCTCATCTAACTCTGCGCAGGATCGACGTATTGAAGAGCTCACTCTGCTGCTGAATCAATGCAAGATCAGAGAGACGCCACACTCCACAAGACAAGGTACTTGCCAGAAAAGATCCAATTCTATTTATTGACTTACACTTTGCCAGTGTAAATGCCAAACAATATGTTCTGATATAATTGTATACTGATCACCTAGCCTTCTCATTCTGTTATACCATCTTCTGCCAAATATCAAAATCATTTGATTACATACAAAAAGTGAGTCTTTATGTTCACAGCGCCACCTGCTGTTTTAACTCTAAATGGGAGGACCTCATCAATTAGCAGTGAAGAAGAGAGGAACACTGACATAGCCAGTGTACACTCTGAAGACCTCAAGTCAGAAGTGTGTAAAAATATTATTATCAATCTGTAAAACTATAAAACATTTCAACATTTCATTTCAATCTTTTTGGTCTCAGATTTCCACAAACAGTTCTTCCTCTCAACAGACATCTCTAGGGTCAGTGCACAAAGATGACGTGAGCAGGTGAGACTACGATATTAAGTCTGTATTATTCTGTTATGTATTATAAGTATCTCGTCACGTCAGAGGAAAGGGAGTGTTCTGAAGGCTCTTTGGCAAACACGCTATGGTATCCTATCAAACTAGGTTTTAGCAGCAACATTTACATATTGTTTTTTATAATACAAACAATGTGTTAACACTTAAAATGTTTTGAACAAATCAGAACATAATACGCCATCTCGATTTCATCACTGCCTATTTCTATCTGAAAAAGCTCTAAAATAGTCATGTTGGAGCTATTTTGGGTGTGTAATGCTGTACCTCCAACACCTTGACCATTATATGCCCCATAAGGGCTGCAGTGTGGAGGTGTTGTGTGTGGCAAAAAATATGAGGACTATTTGATGTCCGAAACGCTACACACATCCAGCGGACCTTGCATGGGGCAAGTTTTGGCCACGACAAGTGACAGGCCAAAAAAAGAGAGAATCAAACAGTTAAGAACTAGTATGGATTGTATTACATAGTACATTTCTTTGTGGTTTGATTGTTCAGTACCCCGGCTTTAATGTGGCAAGGGAAATGATTGAGTGAGATCTATAATGTATAATATAACATTCGCAAGATTCAGGAGATTTCCCGTTCTGCTAATAATTTGAATGTGCTTAATTGGTCTCATTCTACAGAACAGAAGCCCTGCCCTCCTCAGGCAGCACAAATGGATCCACAACGTCACAAAAAGTACACATTTAATTAAGGTCATTCCTGATTTTGACAGCGTTTTATTGACTTCTGTATTTTGTGTTTAGTCGGCTCAGAGCGACAGCCAGAACAAGATGGAGGCCAACAGCATGGAGAGCAGCAGCAGTGAACTTCAGAAGTCTACAGATGGAAGCGTGAACGGGGACTGTGTCCAAAGTAAAGTGCACCGCAGCATGTTCATGATGTGATGGATCATTCTCACTAACGTACCCTCTCATTGATAGCATGGTTTTGTGGGAGAGTTCTAACGCTAGTTTTGGAGCAAAGCCTGACCTCCTCTGACTTAAAGACCACTGTTTCTTTGATCAGGGCTAATTGCAGAGAGCCAGACAGGGCAGAGGAATCATGGGATAGCAAACACACCCTCTTTCTGCCTCTCTCAGCTGTGATGGCCACACCCAAGCTCCAATTAACTGACCAGCCTCACCTCAAGTCCCTCCCTGAGTTCTTCTGGGTTAGCTCAAGCAGTTTGATCATAAAAATACACATGCGAAAACACAGCTGGAAGAGAGTTTGTCCAAGGCCTATTACTTGTCATTAGATGTAGGTGAATGAAGAACAGTTTAATCATGGATATTTTACAATCTGGTATAAACTGGATTTATTATTATCATGGCTTATTTCTTTGTCCTGATTCTTGCTTTGAATGTATTTTATTGAGTCAAGTAAAGTAAAGTAGTAAAGTTGTACATCTTCTCTCTCAGGGCCAATCAACTATGATCTATGTTTTGTATTCTAAAGTGGCTAGAAGTGGTGACAAGATAACAAAAAACTCGAATGTATCCTATGTGTTGGTAGAAAGCGAAAATGCATTTTATTGCACAAACCTCTTTATCACACTCCGTTCACTATTTTGCACACTCCATGATTCATGTTGCTATGAATATGAACAACACTGTAAACCCTGACAAGTAAAGTTTACTTGAAAAAACCATGGAAATAAATTGCGTATTAACTTCACTTAAATTCCTCAAGTACATCCTTTACTTGATATCACCAAGTAACTCAATTGATTGCAATAAAGTTAAAAAAATTTCTTGCGCTCCGACCGGGAATCGTACCCAGAACCTTGTAGTTGAGAGGCAATGGTGCTACCCACTCAACCACCTTATTAAAGACTCTACTGTACACGTCAAAATGTCAAAAGTGAGTCTTACTTGAACAGAAACAGTTCAATTCAAAGAAAACCCTGAGTAACATAGGCAAGCTTTAAATAAACTAACAATAAATGAGTAATATTCACTGACTGGGAAAAATCTATTTAAAATAACTTTGATATCTGAAGTACGATTGAAGTTAGGGTTTACAGTGTAAGTTTGATTTGACCATAGTTGACCACACATTCTTATCATCACAGCCAATTTATATTGATAGCTTTTGTTGTTTACCTAAATGCCTTTTGTTTGTGTTATAGAAAAAGCAGAAGAAACCCTTTCCGTTCACTCTGGGTCCAGCTCTCAGATTGGCCATCGTACTGTAGGTTCAGCAGAGTACATGAAAAATAACCGAAGCTTCAAGAAGTTTTGGGGAAAGTAAGTCACACACAACTAACCTCAACTAAGATCGAGGTTGCAGAGAGTTTCTGAATATAACTATTGTGTTTTCATTACTAAAGCACATATGTATTGCTCTAAACGCTCCATAAATAACAGATAAATGACTGTCTCACAATCAGAAATGATGTCAGTTCTTTTGCCTCCCACTCAGACTGCGTAGGACTCAATCTGGAGGCCTTCAGGCAGGAGACTCAGAGCTCAGTGTGTTTCAAAGAGGAGGACTGCGATCCACTGCAGGACCCCGACTGACGCGGACCCCAGAGTCTCATGACTACCCACGGTAAGAACATGTCACCAAAACACAAACTCATGGGTTTCAAACGCACTGGTCTAAGGTACTAGTAAAAGTGTGGATATTAGTATAATGGGGAACTAAATATATTTGAAGACATTCTCTTTCTTAAAGCTGAGCCACCTATAACTTTTTTTTCTCCCCAATAGAGACGAGTGTTGTAAAGGTATATGTTACGAACCAATCGGACCACAAGATGGTGTCTTTATCTTATCTTTTTAGATATAATCATTTATTTTGCTCGCTTGCTTGGCTTGTGAGCCCTGTGAGTCACTAATTGAAGCTTTGGGCTGAATATTGTTTGGCTGGGCTCAGAAAAAGCTGATCTAAATATGTAACAGAGTCCAAAAAATACACACCTTTGAACAATAGTGATATTTTTGAGAGCAAGGAACTAGTTAGTTTGACAGACGTTTTCAATCATTCATTTTCATCCTCTTTGTCCATTTGTGGGTCGTGGTGGTTTTCAAGAGCTGCCTCAACAACCCTTATGGCACCGGCCCCTCTCTGATCGCCCTGCAGGGGGTGACTCCACAGGCTGCTCTCTCTATCACAATCAATTTTTATTTTGATGTTTTTATTTTCACTTTTTTATTTATTTTTCACATTACTTGATTGGTCAGAGGTGTAAGTGGGGCTCAAGAGTCGGTCAGCAGACAACGGTGGCCCCCCCAGGGAGGGGATAAGGACATTAGATGACAGAAAATACTTAAAAAGTCAAAAGTAAGATGCTGAATATATATTTCTATTTGAGGACATTTAAACATTGTACTTCAAATACTAAAGACTCATTGTATACGTTAGTGTACTTAGAAACTTAGAAATCATAGAAATCATTGCTAACCACAATTAATTAATTAAAGCTGGACTAACTCACTCTGTTTCTAATGAAGCGCTGCCCTCGCACTTTCTGCTCCCCTCCCCACACTCACGAAGCTATCGCCCCCTACTACCCCCCTCACACTCATGTGCTGTTGTTTACGGGATCATAGATCTATAATAATATGTGGATACATCTCTTGTTTTGGCCCAAAAACAATGTCGCAGGTATTTTTTGTTTCTCATTTGACTGCCTGCCCCAGAGCTAAAGTAGTCTTGTCTGCTTCCCGGGGGCCTCTCTCCCAGTCCTTCAAATGCTTGGCCGCTCTCCATTCTTGTAGGGACTTTCTTTTGGATGGCTGTTTAGCTGTATTATCAGTAACCGGTAACGAAGACACAGGAAGTTTCAGGTTTGCCTCCGCCATGAGGCTCGTATACCTTAGCTGTCTGTAGATTTTCTCTAGAAAGTAGGGGCTGGTGGTCCGCTGTGATTGGTCACAATCTGGTCCCAACAAAAAAATTCTTATCCGCATTGCGCGAAAATTCTAAAATAAAATTACACTCCAGCACAAACCAGCGCTTTATTCTTCAAAAGCACGTACATCCCAATTAACAGCTTGGATATAGATTGAATTTGCCTAATACAAAAATAAAGTTAGGTAATACAGCTTTAAATTACACAAAAGTAGTAAAGTACAGTAGTAAAAACAGTTACTTTTATTCCTCTGACAGCGACATGAGCACTCCGTTTGGCCAGTGGAGCCCAGAGCAGGTGTGCAGCTGGATGGAAGACTCTGGACTGGGACATTACATCAACTTCGCCAGACAGTGGGTAGAAAATGGGCAGACGCTGCTCTCTGCTACGCCCCAGGACTTTGAGAAGGTAAGATTAGATTGAACAAATGAACAAAAAGTGACATTTTTGACATAATTGACATGTGAAATGATCTTTTCTCAGGAGATGGGAATGAAAAACCCACTTCATCGAAAGAAACTACAGCTGGCTTTAAATGCATTCAGCACCAAAACAATCGAAAGGTCCTCAGAGTTGGATCATATTTGGGTCACCCGTAAGAGGATTTACTATGTTGTTCTCCACATGCTTTGGAACATGATTCTGAAGTTTTCTGACTTTCTCGTTACAACCACAAACATATCTATTGAAGTATTTTATTGGCATTTTTTATGAAAGACGTGAAGTGATGTGAAAGCAAAATGATACATGCATTTACTTTTTTCCCAATAACCTGAAAGTGTGTCTTGTAAAAGTACTCAGCCGCCTGAGTCTGGAACTCCCTCTACACCAGTTGTAGTCTATTTTTTGCAAAACAGATCAATCTTTGTCGTGTTAGAGAACGTTTTCTGAACCACAGTTTTTCTTGCCAAACTTTCTTGATTGGATTTAGGACTGGACTTTAACTGGACACATTCATGTTTTGTTTTAAACCTTGAAGTTTTATGAAATGGCTTTATGTTTAGTAGAATTGTCAGTTTGCTTTTCAGTGGATTTGTAAAAATAAGATCTACATAAACTAAGTTGTTAATGTTCGTGGTCCATGATACAAAATCAAGGCTCTACTGTACTTAATGATTTAACATTTTAAAAAAACAATGTTTTTATCATTGCTCAATAGCAGAGGTAATTCTTCTGAATGAGTACTTTCTTCAATTTCAGACAGTGAGTATAGTATAAATAATATTAGTCTACACACGCATTTACGATTCCATTATAGCTTACAAAGCCTTTTTAACTTGAGAATACAAGGATGTTATGTATTAGTGTGTATATGTGTAATCTTGTGTCTGTGATTCCTTCTCAGGCTGGTTGGATGACATTGGATTGCCTCAATACAAAGACGTGTTCCATGAAGCCAGGGTAGATGGCCGTGTGCTGCAATACCTCACAGTGGTACGGCCTAACAACATGTCCAACTACCACCATCAGCTGTTTCTCACTGAGATGTGTTTTCTCCTCCTCAGAATGATCTTTTATCCCTAAAGGTCACCAGTCAGCTTCATCATCTCAGTATTAAATGTGCCATTCATGTCCTTCATGTCAACAAGTTCAACCCTTTCTGCTTAAGACGGCGACCAGGAGACGAAGTAAAAACAATAAACAAAAACATTTATGAATGTATGTATATATCATTTAAATTGTATGTCCATGTTTCAGAAACAGCCATCTCCTTCAGAGGTGGTGCAGTGGTCTAACCACCGTGTGATGGAGTGGCTTAGGGCAGTAGATCTGGCAGAGTATGCCCCTAATCTGCGAGGCAGTGGGGTCCACGGCGGCCTCATTGTAAGTGCATGTGAACATTCTACTGTATTTGACACAAGACTTGTGTGAACGGTTCATTTGCCACAGATCCTTGAGCCCCGCTTCACTGCAGAGACTCTGGCTATACTCCTGAACATCCCTCCTCAGAAAACCCTCCTGCGCAGGCACCTGGCCTCTGCCTTCTCTGCTCTGGTGGGCCCTCAGGCCACGCAGGAGAAGAGAGAGTACGGAAACGCAACAGGACATATGCCTCTCACTACCACAGCTAAAGTCAAGGTGGCCATTTCAGATGTCTGCTGAGCTATATGGTCAGTAACATAAACAACAAACTGAAATATGTTTCTTTTTGTAGCCGAAGAAGATGGGCTTCACTCAGTTCAGTCACCTCCGGAAGAGGAAACCAGATGATTCCGCAGAATACATTTGTCCTATAGACACAAGTTCACACACGGTCGACCGAGGGGTCAGCCCCAGCTCAGAGAGAAGAGGGCCCAATGGAATAAAAGCCTCAGGCTGAGCTCCTTCTTCATCCTCACTATCACATTCACCATTATCAATTAGTCAACTGGACTACTCATTAAGACTCAATGAAATGTAAATGTTTTGATTTTCACTCTCCATTTTAGGTGTGCAGGTAAAAATGTTCAAACTATTGTGTTTGTATGTTCTCAGGTTTATTCTTTGTAAATAAAACAATGTATAGACAAAAAGTCTCAACAATAAACAAATACTAATAGTTTCAGATGTTGCTCCAAACTGTTGACACAAAGTTATTTTACTCACAATGTAAGATTCCAGTAATATTTGCTTATTTTGTTATTTAGCATGAACTGGAAAAGTGTTTGTTTGATCATAAAAATCCTTTATTTAATTATCAATTATTTAATGACTTATAAACTTGATACTATCTGTGGTGTATTTTTCTTTTAACAAAGGCCTGCAGTTGATAACGTTGGTCACAAACAAAGGCTTGAATTTTACTAAATAGCTTATTACCTTTCTATTTTAAAGGACCATGAAAAGATAGAAAAGGAGGATATCGCTGACTTTGAATGAAGCCAAAGACAGTCTTAGACGATGCTGCCCTCTGGTGGTCATTTCTTAAACTGATTGATAGTTGCTGCTTTTGAAACACTGAGAATACTTAATAAGCTTTATTTCGAACTCAGATTGTCCATAGACATGAAAAAAGGACAGGAACAAACCAATACGAAGATAACAGACTCGGAAAGACTCAAACTACAGTCTATGGCTTTGAACGCAGCAGGAGCACCTCACTTTTGTTTTGTTTCACAAATAACATTTTGTTTGTTCGAACAACAACAACAAAACATCTTTTTAAGTATTATTTTGTGAACAAGAACACATCTGACCACAACATACTGTCTTCATCTTAGAAATTAAAATACATATGTCCAAACTGAGAGCTGGTTGGCTGAGTGGGGGCTGGTATACTGTCTTTTCCACTGATAAAGCTGAAGACCTGACAAAGTTAGATGAAGTTTATATTACAGTTGTTGTGGTTTCTAAGTTAGGTGAACTACAGCTTTAAAGGAGCAACATGTAAAAATCTCCAAAAGTGGTATTGCAATCACGGTCAATTCTGTAGTTCTCTCCCACCCTCCCTGACACAGGTTGCCAGGTTTGCAGCTGAATTGATAACGCTACTTCAAATGCAAGGATGAGAATGGGAAATGTACAACTCTGAAGTGTATAATGTCAGCAATTATAGTCACAAAGTGCATGCCCCCCTTTGAGCTTGGAGCATTTTTATATAATGCACTAAGAAACGGTGACTTCTAATATTGAAAAATAAGGGACATCATAAGATTTGAAAGCTTGAAATATCCAACAATATCTTATTTTTTTTACCCAAACTTCTGATATATTTGCAAACAGTTGTGGTAAAAAATATCAAATAGAAGAAATAGTCTGAAATAAAGCTAAGAGGTGAAAACATGTGTATAGCTTGTTTCTCCCTTCTCACTTCTTGAAGAAGAAAATCCACTCTTAGCCCAAAAAGTAAATTAATGACTCAAAGAGCTTTTTCTTAAAGTAGCAATATGTAATATTTGCATGTCAAGTAATAGTAAAAGACGAAGATCAGAATGTATTTTGCTGTTTATAGCTTAATTGTAAAAATAATCATTTGAGACCACATGTACCCCAATTAAAAAAATATTTGTCTCTTTTTGATGTGGGACTTATACATGTCTAAAAAATAGGGAATAAATCAAATTGAAGGGTGATATCCTCTGGATGAAACTCTGATGTTGATACACTGAAGAAATATGTTCCAACATTTTGGACATCAATTGCTTATTTATTTTGCATAATCTATGTATAATTACATTGCTTTTATTTCGGTTTTTTTTTTTTTAAATCTAAAATGTCCAAATAAAAAATAAAAATAAAAAATTCAATCAACATTAGCACGGATATCATGGCAGCTTGTGTTTGCTGCTGGATTTGGTGTGTATCCAACATCTGAAGTTAATCAGTCTAATCAGGAAAATCTAATTCTTGTTCTGTGTAAGAATCAGCCGACCGCAACCGCTGATACTGAAACTTTGAAACTTGCTACGCTTAATGTCAGATCTCTTTGTAACAAGTCTTTTTTAATCAATAATTGTATTTGTTCTCATAATTTTGATCTTATGTTCATGGCTGAAACTTGGCTTGACCAAAATTCAGGAAATGCAGTTTTAATAGAAGCATCACCACCAAATTTCAAGTTTGAATCTGAAATACGGGAAAACAAAAAAGGAGGAGGCCTAGCTGTCATTTTTAGAGACCACTTTGTCTCACATAGAATGTCTCTTGGGAAGTTTTCGTCATTTGAATATGTGTCTTTTAAAATACAACAAAAACAATCTCCTCCAATACTCTTCATTGTCCTATACAAGCCACCGCAGTCATGTCACAGTTTTATTGATAATTTTACCGAGTTGCTTTCAGTTGTATGCACAGATTTTGATAGTTTGGTTATTACAGGTGATTTTAATATTCATGTGGATAATGTTGATGACAGAAATGCAAAGGAGCTGAGTTCTGTACTTGAATCCTTTGATCTCACTCAGCACGTAAGTGGCCCCACCCACAGCAGAGGGCACACTCTAGATCTGTTAGTTACTAAGGGGGTGGATATTTCAAATGTAAACGTGGTCGATGTTGCTCTTTCGGATCATTTCTGTGTTTTTTTTGACATGTGTTTCACTAACAAACCACCAGTGGACTCTGCAACTGTACGAAGAAGACACATAAATGAAAATACGAGTGAACTATTTATGGGAATGATAAACTTTGAGAATGCATCGTATTCTACTGTAGATGAACTGTTTAACTCTGTCACCTCTAGTGTTTTGAATGTTCTGGATATCGTTGCCCCTGTGAAGGTTAAAATAGTGAAAAATAAGCAGAAGGCGCCGTGGGCTAAAGCAGACTCGGTCAGGGCACAAAAGAGAAAGTGCCGGAGGGCCGAGCGGAAGTGGCGCAAGTCCAACCTCCAGGTTGATTACGAGATCTTCAAAGATAAGTTGTGCGAGTTTAACCGGGTGCTACGTAGTACGAGAGAAAGGTATTTTTCTGAAATGATTGAAGGCTGCAGTAACAATCTGCGTGTTCTGTTCTCAACAGTTAATAGATTAACAAACCCCCCTGTTCAAATGCCATTAGAGCTTACTTCCAAACGTAAATGCAATGAGTTTGCTAATTTTTTCAATGACAAGGTTCAAGGCATCAAAAACGCCATTGTCTCCAATCCACAGATAACAATCCAACAGCCAGAAAGGCTCTCTGAGCTAACTCACTTTGCACCTGTAAATGATAAAACTGTCCAAGAGATAATCTCCAGTTTGAGCTCCTCCACATGCAGCTTGGATGTACTACCCACCAGATTTCTGAAGTCTGTTCTGAGCAGTCTGTTACCTTCACTCACACAGATAGTAAACATGTCCCTTCATTCTGGAATATTCCCAAAGGCCCTGAAAACTGCAGTCATCAGGCCCCTGCTAAAAAAGAGCAGTCTCGATGCTACGGTACTTAACAACTATCGTCCCATCTCAAATCTGCCATTTATGGGGAAAGTCCTTGAAAAAGTTGTCTACCTACAGCTTACTAGATTTCTTATAATCAACAACTCATTTGATATGTTTCAGTCCGGCTTTAGACGCCACCACAGCACTGAGACTGCTCTTGTTAAGGTTACAAACGATATCCGGCTGAACACTGACGCAGGCAAAGTCTCAATCTTAATCTTGTTAGATCTAAGTGCTGCCTTTGACACCGTCGACCATGAGATCCTCTTACAGAGACTAGAGGACTGGGTTGGAGTCGCTGGCACCGCCCTAAGTTGGTTTAGGTCTTACCTTGAGGACAGGAAGTACTTTGTGGAGATTGGAAACTGTGTCTCAGATCATATGGCCCTGACCTGTGGAGTACCACAGGGGTCGATCCTGGGACCTCTTCTGTTCAATCTCTACATGCTGCCGTTAGGTCAGTTAATACGCAGAAACAAAGTGTCCTATCATAACTATGCAGACGACACTCAGATCTATGCCTCACTGACTGCAGGAGAACATGGACCAGTGGACTCACTCCTTCACTGTATCCAACAGATCAGTGAGTGGATGCAAAACAACTTCCTTCAGCTAAACGCAGACAAAACTGAAATGATTGTCTTTGGTCCCCAGAAACAAAGAGAGAGCGTCATCTGTCACCTACAGTCTCTCTCCCTAAAACCTTCAAACAAGGTCAGAAATCTAGGGGTAATACTGGACTCAGACTTAAATTTTAATAGCCACATCAAATCAGTAACATCAGCAGCTTTTTACCATCTAAAAAACATTGCCAGGATCAAAAACATAGTGTCTAAAGCAGACCTAGAGATTCTTATCCATGCATTTGTCTCCAGTAGGTTAGACTACTGCAATGGCCTGCTCACAGGTCTCTCCAAACAGGCTGTAAAACAGCTGCAGTACATTCAAAATGCAGCAGCTCGAGTCCTGACTAGAACCAGGAAGTACGACCACATTAGTCCAGTCCTCAGGTCTCTGCACTGGCTTCCTGTGGCTCAGAGAATAGACTTTAAAACAGCTCTGCTTGTGTACAAGTATCTCCATGGCCTCGCACCAAAATACATTAGTGACCAGCCCGGACTCTGAGGAGCACAGGGACTGGACTCTGAGGAGCACAGGGACTGGACTCTGAGGAGCACAGGGACTGGAGTCCTGTTAGTGCCCAGAGTCAGTACTAAACATGGGGAGGCTGCTTTTCAGATTCATGCTGCTAAAATCTGGAACAGTCTTCCTGAAGATGTGAGACAGGCCTCCTCTCTGACAATGTTTAAAACCAGGTTAAAGACAGTTCTGTTTAGCTGTGCATACAACTGAGGGTATTTATATTTGTATCTTTCTTTTTAATGTTCTGTCATTATTTATGATTTTAATGCTTTCTTGTTTTGTTCAGCACTTTGAATTGCCTTGTGTATGAATTGTGCTATATAAATAAACTTGCCTT